CAAGAATGCCTTCATCCATGTTGAAAATATATTTCTTGAGGAAAAATAAATGAACATATCATAATTCAATTATCCTTCTTCAATATTCCATAAAAAAAATTAATATAATTTAGAAGAGTGAAATATTTTAGTAAAAGACTATTAAAAATAAAAATAAATTAAATGGGATGCTATCCACTTACCTAAAATCTCCAAAATTTAAACTTCTCCTCTCAACTTTAATCAAATTTCTCCACTTCCAAATTCCCTATAATCATATTAAAATTTTATTTAACCCTCAACCAGTACAATAATTTTTTTTTCTCACTTCACTCACCTCCAATATTAAACTATAATACATTTAAATTTTCTTTTAAATCCTCACTAGCATTTGGTCAAGGCACCAAACATAAATCATTTCCAATCTCCTCATAAAAATGCTAGCATTCAATATTTCATCTACAACTATTCATCTTCTAAAATAAAAAAGAATCACATTACAAATTTCTAAAACAAATATTCTTTGCAATATCCAAATTCAATTTTGTACTTCCCACAAGAATTAATAAATCTTCATAAATATCCAAAAATCAAGTTCAATTTCTATTAATAAGCACTTCAACAACCACCTCATCTTTCATCAAGTTTCATATCTCATCTCTTGTAACATAATCCTAACCAATTCTTCATTATCAACCCATTTAAACCAAATGAATTCAACTCAAAAGTTGATCCATATGTATATCATTACCAAGCTTTAAGTCAAAAAAATTATTATTATTATTATTGTTCAGCTCAACTGTGCACCTTCTTCTTCCTACAATGCACAGTCAACAGTAACAGAGCAAAAAGAATGCTGTAACCACACACATAGAGCAACAGCAGCACGCACACACTCACAGGATCAGCACACGATCAGCAGGCAATAGATGGATGATCCAAAATTCCTCACCTCAACTTAGGTAGCTTGAACAGTGGCGGACAGACAGGGAGGAGAAGACGAGCTTCTTGGACGCTGAACAGGGGAGAGGAATAACTGAATATAGCTATCAAGCAAGGATAGAAACCGAGTCAGTAACAACAGACCAAGCTCGCACAGCACCCCCGCAGCAGCTCCAATAACTTGGTTCCTCATTCCAGCCACAACTTGAATGTAAACGACACAAGGAAAGCAGCGAACGAAGAAGGAAAAAAAACAGAGGTGGGAGATACGCAGATGAACCTGAACGTTTCAGAGCAGCCGTGAGCCCCCTCTGACATCGGTGACGGCAAGGAATGAAGAAGACAGAGATGAGTCAGTGATGGCAGGGGAATGAAGAGCAATAATCGTCCAAACTCTCGATTCTTCTCGCACTCTCTTATACTCTGATAACCGACATTTTCCCAGTGAGAAAGAAAGCAAAACGAGAAAATTACATAGGGTGAGGAAGGGTATATTGGTAATTTTATAAAGTTAAAATTATAAAAATAGACCCCTTTGTTTGTTTGTTTGTTTTTTTTCTTTTGCTTTATCAGATCCGAACCTTAAGCTTAATAATGGGTGAATTAAGTTTCCCTTTCTTGTCAAAATTATTCCAAAATTAATATAACTACAATTATAATACAATACTATATATTAATTTTTTTTACTTAAAATTCTTGGTTATTACACTCTTGATTTCCAAACACCTTCTTTTGGCATAAAAGTTTTGCATTTATAACTTGACTTGGCATACTCAATAAGAATGATCTTGTATTCCTCTGAATCATCATCACATTCTAATAAGAATTTCACCTCATCAAACCAGTATCTTCTGTCAAGTTGGTTGGGAAGGAAATGTCCAAGAATTATTTTGTAATAGGATTACAAACATATAGTTGTTTTTCTTTTCTTGTTTGTCTTTGACAGAGAAGCAAACCATTACTGGAGGCTAGAATTTTGGATCGTGTTTGAGAAAGAAACTGAAGGAAGTCTTTCAGAGCGCCAGAAAATTTCTATTCTCCAGGTAATGCATATGGTTCAGTCTTGAATGATGCCAAATAATAATGCTTCTGTGGCTGAATAAAGAAGCAATAGTCATTCATAACCACGGAATGTTGAGATTGCTTCAAGGCAAAGTATGAATCTTGTGTCAACTTATAGATGGACTTGGAACAAGACTTGAATCTGCATATTGATTTTTCTGGGACCCAAGAAAATATTTCAGAGATAATATCTTCTGTTAATTTCATTCTTTGAACTGCAAACAATAATGTAAACACACAGTAGTATCGTATTAGAGAGAAATATATAATCACACAAATTATCCTACTAATTCTATTTGCATAGAACAAAATGTTAATTGGGAAGTGTATATAAGATAAGTGGAAGGAGAAAAAACGGATTAAACAATTAGAAATTATAGAAGAGCAAGAGAAAATAGTAAATGATGGCACATAAAATTTAACATTAAAAAACCTCTGGTGGCAAAAATTTTACAATATAAAATCTACGAACAAAGAAACCCGATAAACGATCGCTACCTATTCCTAGCTAATACAAAATTGTTGAATAATAGCGTTGCAAGTTTGTTGTATAAAACTCAAATGGATTCATAGGGAGATTATATTATATGATCAAACCAAGTGAATAACATTCTTTCATTCTTTGCGATCATATACTAAATGAAGGTGAAACTGGAACATTGAACAAAATACACAACTTACTTGAGAGTATAGAATACGCCTTTCTTCTAAATCCTGAAAAAGTAATTCACCCGAAATCAACAAATAAGGATGGTTTTATAATTTTATTTTATTTTCTGATGAGACGAGAATTCTAAAAGAAGTTGGCAATAGCTAATGCTGATGCGAATCTTTTTGATGACAAAGAGTCACATAAATTTGCAGCCCTCATTGTAACCCAAAAAAATAAATTGATGCGGGAAAGGAGAATGTCATGAAATACGGAAGCCGAAGATTTTATAAAATTTTTAAATAATTATATAATAATTTTTTATAAATAGATATTCACAAGATATTATAAAATCTAAAAATAACAAAAAAATAATATTTTTTATTATTGTAACTAAACATAAAGTAATACTCTCTCTGTCCCAAAATATAGGACACTTTTAAAGAAATTTTTTCGTTCAAAATATAAGACATTTTGAGTAGATTAATGTTTTATTAAATACACCAATTTCGATATTATCCTTTCTCTTTTTATGATTAATTTCCATCACTTTTCTTTTCAATATATTAAATGATGGATATTTTGGGAAGTTTATATTATTATTTTAGAAAGATAAGGTTGTTAAGTGTATTTAATGAAGTTTATTGATATATGAGATTTTGTTTAAAAGTGTCTTATAATTTGAGACGGAGGGGGTATTAGTTTTATCCACAATATAGTAAATTCCAATTGTCATAATTCACACCTGATAATGGAGGGAATTATTGTGATGAAATATTCCATTTTAAATGCAGAGATAAACTTCCTGATTTGGATTTAATCAGAAATTGATTAATTCTCATTCAAGTCCCGGATTTCGGTCAAACCTCATTAAACTGATATATATCAAATATTTGCTCATTAATTTGACATAATGACCCAATTTCCATTGAGGACGGATTAGTAATTCCACTAATCATCAATCACCAAGCACACAACAAATAAAACAATCAACAAGAAGTCGATTCATTTTATCATAGAAACTACATCCAACTACATCCATGGCCGAAAAAGAAGCATTTGAAATTCATCATATAATTATTTCTTTACAAAAGAGAATGAAGCTAATTGGACAAGAGACCGCGGGTAAAGATTTCTAGTTCTACACATTTCACCGTCATCACGGCATTCTCCTCCATTCATCACTTGGCTGCAGAAACAAATAATGGTGGTGGTAGTAGTAATAACGATAATGATAAACAAGATTTACATCAAATATATATTTATGGATTTATATTTTGGTATCATACCTTGGGAGTTGCAATGATATCGGTTGATGCAAATCATAAAATGGATTTATCTGATTTGTCACATTATTGTTGTGTTATTCTTGACTTGTCCTTCCGGTCCTGTTTCATTGGGGAGAGGATCCTCTCCTTTTCCTTCCCATCCTCTTCTTAATTTTTAATCATTTGATCTTGATTTGGATGATTTAGATTTAATGTCCTATAAAATATTTCATTTCATTTTATTTTTACTGTATTTTTTGGTTATTTATATTAAATTTTACAAGTTTGATTTTTATTATTTATAGTTTTTAATAATTTAACACTTTAATAATAATTTTATAGGAGATAAAATTTGAACCATTTAAATCTTGATCTAATGGCTTGTAAGGATAAAGAATGGAAGAGAATGGGAAGGAAAAGGAGAGAATCCTCTCCCGTTTCAATGAAGATCATAGGATTTAATTCTCAAATGAGATCTTTGAACTCATCTTTTGTTAATATAAATGGAGGGTGGTTAACTCATTAAATCTGTTTTAGAATGAAAAAAAGTTCCAACTTTGCTTCTATTAAAGAGAGAGAAATACAATATTTGAAAAGTCATATAAATACATGAAATTGTAATTAAATTCTCCTTTTAGTGATTTGCTAGGGGTAAAATTAAAAAATGTTAATTAATAACCTTCTATGATTTATATTAAGGGTCAAGAAATTTTTCTAAAAGACACCTTACAATAAGGATTGGAGGGAGCCTAGTCCCTATTATAAGCCACTTACAACTAATTCACAGGAACCAAAAAAAAAATTTTATCATTAAAATTGTCTGAAAGTTGCTTTGATTTTCATTTTTTAACCAAAATAAATACCATAAATTAAAAAAAAATAAAAATGCTCCTATCATCTCATTGGAAATTAAGAAGGTATATTTGAAAAAAAATAATTAATGTTATATAAACTCTTGAAAAGTAATTTATATTTAAGATCACACAATTTTTTTAAAAGGCAACAAATTAAATATGTAATATCCAAGGAAGTATATTCTAATAATTATCAAACAAAAATGAAAACACTTAGGAACTCACAAAAGATGATTGTAAGGAAAATTAATTCTTGCCTTTTTTGCTGCCGTAGCTATTGTCACAAATTTCACATCGGCATGTTCTTGTCCAACTATTCCCTTCATTGAATAAATAGAAAATTGTTAACAAGAATTAATTTTGAATTTATTATTGAATTTTACAATAATTTTTATCCAAGACGCAATCATGTCATTAAATAATTTGATAGACAAAGTTTAATAAATGCACAAGATAAACAATAAATTAATTACCTTGTGACAAGGGCAATATAATATCCATTTGAACAATTTGACTTCGTGCAATTGCACCTTCTTCTATATTTTCCTTGAACAGCAATGTCCTCCTACAAAGAGCCAAATAGTGAAGTCATTGAGAAATCCATTGAATTTACTTTGATTCAAGAAATAAACCCTTAAATTATCCTTAAGATAACAGGTCAAAGAAACAAACCTCTTATTTGGGGGAGTTGACAATTGAATGAATTGGTGAGAAAGGCCAAAACTTTGATGTTGATGAATTGGGAATTGATAAGTTAATGAGGAATTCGCCATCATATTTGACATTTGATTATCTTTGCTGGCACGTGTTGCATAAATGAATTGATTTTCAACAGTTGACCAATCAGAAGCCATCTCATGTTCTGCAGAAAGTGAAACTCTGCACGTTTGATCAGGTGCTTCGCATGGAGGTGATGTCATAATTAGATTGAACTAAATTTCTATTCCTCCAACCCTGAAACAAAAATCAATGATGATCATGATGATGATTGCAAATAACTCCGCATTAACTAAAGATATAACTTTATAATTGAGGCAACAAGAGCATATATATATATATATAGTGATTAATTGGTATTGCGTAAATGCAGCGCTTCTTCCGTTTTTGAATCTCCATTAATGAAGATTCATCGCTCTTGAGCTTCTCCTTTATTTGAACCACCCACGACTGATCTGTTTCTAAATCCATGTGTTTTGAGTTTTGATAATAACAATGTTGCTCTAATTTGAGATGCGTTTATAGTGTTCTGATGCTGTGAAGAGCAAAGCTAAACTTGTCTTGAAGAAAATGATTAATTTAATGTAATCATGATTTATTAATCTATTTTACGTGTCCTAAAATTCCTTTCCTTATGATTGTTGTTAGTTAAGTTATTGTACGTTTTCTTCATTGGCCGGCTAGCTCTGATCTTTATGTGCTCACATGAAGATAAGAACAAAGGTCTTGCATGCTACTTTTTCAAGCTTTTTTTATGTAGTTTTGCACCCCAAAAAAGAAATTGATTAATTAAAATTAAAACTTGAGAGCTGGGATCGCATAAAGTCCCTATATAATTTATACACATGCACACAATAAAAGGAAGCTTTCCAGAGAGAAGCAAAGCAAAAGGAAGATATGGTGCCGTGTTGGTCCATTCTTGACTCTAAAGCAATGAAGTCAAGTCTTGCAAGAAAGACATGAACAGAGAATTCATGTTGTGGTTTAATTCACATGAGCTTTATTTCATAACGGATTCAATAAAGGTAAATATATTGTTAATTATTCTCATTTTTTTGTGACATACAGGTGCCTACCTATATATACATTTAATAGCGAAAAAATTCTTTTTTTTTAATTTTTAAGTATGTGTATTTTCTTTTATTATATTATCTTTAAATTACTTAACACAATAATTTTATTAGATTGTTAATCAATCAACTCTGATAAATATTGCTTACATGGTGCCCACGTTAGAACATATATATACATCATAATTTATATAGCAATACATTAAAAAGTTAAAAATAAAAAAAGGAAAAATGATTTCTAAAATACAAATCACTTCAACTAAAAGTTTGCGGAAACAAAAGTAAAATTCTGATGTTTAATGCAGTACCCAAAACAAATAACAAACTCAAATTCAGTTTTTAATATGCGGCCATCATAGAGAGCAAACAAAATTATGTTAAAGACTGAATTATATTTTTTAAAAAAGTTATATTTAAAGAAGGGTATTTTGATCTAACATATATATGATTTAACAATAATCAATGGTGTTTGGATAGAAATGAAATATTAAAAGTAGAAAGGTAGTTTGGGTTTTGTGACTACTAATTATAGAGAAGGTTCATATAGGTTTTAAAATTTTAAAATATTTTGTTACGATTGACTTGTAAAGAATTTTATGGAAACATTTAGTTAAACTGGCTGTCAAAAAAATTTTGATGTTGCATTGGTACTGTTATAAAATATTGAAATATTAATGTCACACATAAGGGGGCTATAAGGAAACAATTTTGATATCAACATACAATGTCAGGTTCTTAGGATTTCTTTCAAAATATTTTGAAAGAACTAGTTTCCCACAGAATTTTTAAAAGAAAATAACCAATGTAAGCCACGTCCCATATGCCATGTTCTCTTGAATTATTCCAAGAGAAATATGTTTTCTTAAAAAATTTTGAGAGAACTTTTTTTTGGAATAAATTGAGAGAACATAGCTCTCAAATAGTTCAAAGAGAAAGTTTTCTTAAAAAACAATTGAGAAAACGTTCTCTCAAAATTATTCAAGAGAAGCTTATCTCAGATAATTTTAAGAGAACACATTTCTCTCAGAAAGTTCTGAGAGAAAATATTTCTCTCAGGATAATCCGAAAGAGAAAAAAAATTTCTACAAATTTTTACTCTCTCTTTTCATGTGAGAGGAATTTTGAGAGAAACGGATTTTTTCTCAAATATCTTCACTATTCTTGGAATACATCTAAGAGAAAAGTGTTTTTTTTTTGTAATGAAAATTTTATTTTTTTTAATTATTTTTTTAAATATTCTATTATCAGTCTTTTCCAAACAACCAAACGGCTTTTTATTTTTGCTTAGATAAAAAGAGAAAATTAAGGAAAAATAATATGTGAGCCCTATATTATTTTTTAGATTTGATTATCTCTATTTTTTTTTCTTCCGCTTCCTCTCAACTTATCTCAACCCTTAGATCAACTTAAGTTTTGAATGATTTAGGATTTAACATTTCACAAAATTATTTGTAAAATGTAGAATTATGAAAAACAAATAAATAAATTTAAACTATAAAAGGATGTTGGCATGTCTTGGACAATTCAATTAGTAAAATCCTACTACAAAATTAATACTACTTGCCTAGATCATCAGCTTTTGGAAGCTAAATTTGTTGCAATTGGAGACCACATCATGACGCAAAGGAAAAATAAACTAGGGGGAGCAAAAATTTATTGTAAACTATTTTACAAAGAAAAAAAAATAAAGTTTTTACTAAAAGTTATATGACATTTGGGGGACAAGAATCCCTCCTTGCCCTCTTTAGATCTGTCTCTTCTTCACTTCAATATTGCTTAAGAGCGGAATCATCATTTGCTTCTCTCAACAGTTTCCTTTTATTATCACAAGCTCACAACCCTGTATGACAGTGCATGTAAATGTAATTTTTTTAATGGACAACACCCAACTCACCTGAAAGTTTATATTTTAATGTTAATTAATTAATTTCTCCAAATTGTGAACAAAAAAGTTTGAAAAGCTAGCATGTTCTGCATGCATTTCAAAAACAATCAATCAATATATACACTCTCCAATTTTATTGGATCCCTGGAATGGACAATCAATATATATATATATACTCTTCCACCTCTATTTACTTGTCCTCATAAAAAAAATTTACGGCACACAAATTATATGGAGAAAGAAAAATCTATAAATACAATGCAGGAATCATTTTTCCCAATTTTGTCCTCCATTTAATGCTCCACTAGAATATTATTAGAAACAAGTAATAATTATACTTTGAAATTTGGAACATGACATATATTTATAGATAAAATGAAAATGTAAATTAAGAAAAGTAAATAGGGAGGGCGGAAAACTAAAATCATAATTAATGTACATGAACGTTATTGTTTGTTGTGCATTTGTTTTATAATTTTTTAAATAAACTTTAACAAATAATAATAGAAAAATAAGTAAGTGAAGATTTAAAATGTCCAAATTAAAGAAGGTTAGAAAATATGCAATCGTAGACACTTGAGGCTAACTAAAATCAGGCTAACTAAAATCACAATTCTTCCTTTTGAACTACCTAGTTTTGAGAGAAAAATTTGCATTTAATAAAACCACATAATCAAACATAGACACTATTCTTCTTTAAACTTGTTTTTCAATTTTCAGTGTAATCCTTGAATTTTGACTCAAAACAACTTACTTCCTATAATTTCTTGACTTGATGCAATTCAATTTCTATAATTCATCAATTCAATGAAGCACACAACTAATTAAATTATATCGAGTCAGAATTCAAAGATTAGATTGATAATTGAGAAAAAGTTCAGGCACTGAAGTTATATTAGTAAAAAAAATAATGATACCAAATCATAGAAAGAAGAACTATTATTGTTATTCTTCTTCTGGACAAAAAGAGTTCCAGAAGTTGCATGCGGTAACAATTATGACACATCTTCTCGTTTCAACTCTGTGTAATCACCACAAAAATTCAAAACTCCAATTTAAGTATTATGATACAATTGAAGAATTGTATACACAGTCTGAACGATAGTCAACCCAAACAGAAATATGGCTGCAACAAAAGACACGATCGCCCATGGATTCCTGAAGTAAGTTTCAATGAGATTAGCTCTCCACTTGTTCCATGGCTTCTTGCAATATCTACACACACTCACTTGCACTATCTCCAAGCTTCCTCCACGATCCACAGCAAGATCTCTAGATAGTGAATTAAAAAGCTTCGCCACGGCTTTGTCACTTCCAAGAGCATTCTGTACAATCCCTTTCTGTTCCAAAATCACAACATCAACATGGTTATCGATGATGTTATCCATGAAGAACACGAACGAAGAAACCTCGTTGCCTGCTCCAACATGCATGCGTTCAAATGCTATGAGGTTCAACAACATGGTCTCGGTGCAGTCGTCGACGATGATTGAAGGAATTCTGAGGATTCCGCCATTGAAGGAGACATCTTTGAAACTGTGGCTTTCGCTTGGCTTGAAGGTGATGCCAGCGTCTAGAAGCTCTCTTGCGGAGGGAATGATGATTTCGTCTTCTTGGTGTTTGTTTGATTTGGATTGATTGGGAATGATTGTGGGGTGTGTTGGTTCATGTTGAAAGAGGGATTTTCTGTAGAGATCTAAGATGTGTAAGCATTTGCCGAAGCTTTTGAAGATTGGAGTGTCAGGGCAAAAGAACTTGAGGATGAGCTTGTTCAAGAACTCTGGATCCTATAGTAATATTGATGAGGTACCATGTGTTCAATCAGAAAAAGAAACAAACAAAATGAAAATGAAGATATGATATATAAATAAATTAATGCAAAATTTCATCTTTACACCAAATGTCATTTTAATCTTTTAATTTTATACTGTACCATTTCGGTCATCTAACATTAACATTATTAGTTTTATTAACGAAAAAATGTTGATATCAAATTTTAAATGTTGACAAAATATTTTTAAATATAGACACATCAAGGTTAATTTTTTAAATGACAGTGAATGGGAAAAAATTCATTATATGAGACTAATGGAATTATAAAATTATAGGATCAATTAAAACCATGTATAAATTTAGAGTTCCATCAATATGATTTTTGCCAATGATTAATTTATTTATTTTAACAAAAAGTGCTAATATAATTGCTTTCAACAACTATATATTGGAGTCACGTGAATTACCTCTCACCAGTTGATTTTCACGACAAAACTACTTGTCAATGAAGTCTTATGTTGCTACTTATAAAATGTTGCAGCAGAAGAGTTTTGAGTGACGAAACTGGTTAAGTCAACTGACATTACTAAAATCAATTGTCTACTTCCATGATGAAAAAGAATTCAAAATTTTCAGCCGTTTATAAATGCCAACTTCTAATTATCTTAATAAACATGCCTGAAACACATGAGAAAATTAAAGTCCAGAAGTAATTAAATACCTGGTTTTTGTTTCCCTCAAATTCAACCAGTTTGTCAAGAACCATCATGGGGATCTGATTCTCAAGCATAAGCATATCACGTTTGATATAAGGTGTGACATACAGTCTTCCATGGCAACTGAAAATAGGATCATTATCTGCATAATCACCAGCAGCATGATAACAAGCTGCAAATCTCAGAACTTCAAGCATGAAACACCCGTCAAGAATCATCATCCTCAAGAAACTATGATTATTCTCGTTCTTGCTCTTCCATTGATCATCAAGTGGCTTGTAACAGTCCCTCAAGTCCTCTTCCACTTCTGCCATGCTTTGTATCAGCAACTCCAATGGCTTCCCATTACACCTCCTCAGAAAGTGAACCAGAGCTCTATGCTTGTGCTCTTCCATGGCTAGCAGATGCTTCTTCATGTGGTGGTACGGACCAAACGACACCGTCAGGGGATTGTATGCCTTCTTGTTCAGGTCTGCAACACTGGGTGGTGTTTCGTATATGCAGTGCTTCTTCCATTTCTGAATCTCCATTGATGAAGATTCATGGTTCTTGAGCTTCTCGTTTATTTGAACCACCCACTGATGGTCTGTTTCAAATTCCATGCATGTACGTGTTTGAAAGCACTGTTTCTGCTTCTTCCTTGAAGCTCTTGAGATGTGTTTATAGCGATCTCATGCATGTGAAGAATACGAAACTAAACTTGCATTCTACTCTTGAAGAAAATGATTAATTTGATGTAATCATGGTTCGTTAGTCTACTTTATGTCCTAAAATTCCTTTCGTGCCAAAGGTATTTTCTGAATTAATTGGATTCATAGCCTGTCAGCTGTTGTCTTTGTTTCAAGATGAAGATAAGAACAAGCTTACCAGCCGAAAGGCCATATTTAGTATTTTATATACCGACTTTTTTCCTTCTATATTGTGATATTCCAAACCCCCAAACAGTTAAAGTTCACCAGCATTGTTTTTGGTATGATAAAGAAGAATAGTGTCCATGCTTGATCATTATAGTTTTATTCTCAAACAACACAAAAATAAAAATAAATAAATAGTGAACTGTGAAGCCTCAGTCAACTAGAAATAAACATGAAGGTAAATTTTTCGGCCAGAAATTCAGAATTTTACTTGATCCTTATTGACTTCCAGAAATGTACACCAGCACTAGAAAGAAAATTAACAAGTGACCTGAAGCATTGTGACTATTTATACAGAAATGACAAATGCATATTATATAGCTCAGATTATGCACCTTCTGGCCCCACAAAAAAGATGTCAACTTCATTCAACATGGTGAAAGCCAACGTTCTCCAATTGAGAGTCACAACACTGAGGAAATTCACAATTGCAAGCACCTGTTCTGACCTGGTTCGAAAGTTTCAAATGTACAATTTTAACCGGAAAACTTGATTAGTTGAATCCTTGAATAAGGGAATAACTGCCAATTTTCTGTAAGTAACAATTTCTTTTCCTTATTAAATAAACATTACAAATAATAGTTTATAGGCACCGACATTATATCTCTAAGTGTTCCTAACCTCTACGATAGCGACCAGTGACAACACTATAATAAGACAAAAACAGTGGGCGAATACATGCTTGTTCATTTATGAAGTAAGATCTCATTTGGTTATTAAAAAAGAAATGGAATGGAATGAGATTAAAAAATCAACATAAAAATGAACTAATTATCTTTTTTTCTCATGATAAATATAATAAAACTCATTAATATATATTATAAATGTGAGAATCATCACACCCTCCAAAAATTTTATGAATCATAATTTTCAATCCCATGAATTAATTTACCCTTCTCCTTTATGAATGTGGTTCATTATTCCTTTTAATCATCTCATTTTTACATTTATTTTTTCAATCAATTTCATTCCATTTATGTCTAGTAACCAAACAGGACCTAATTCTTGAAAAGGAACCAGAAGCATGTATTATGCAACAAATAATTACTTGGTTTTGTGGAACATAGTTCAGGAGAAATTGGTGTCCCACAACTGATCATATTGACCAAAATAAACAAACAAAAGAGAAGGTAAATGACAAGCAAAAGAGGCAGCAACTGAAATAACCTGTTTAGGTGATTTAAAAGGCAGGATCGATCAATGGCCCTAACTAGTTGTTATTAAGTTCACTAATAAATATCCTCTGTTCTTCCTTGTCTTTATGATTGCATAGATTCTTTAAAAGGTAGCAGAGGGACTAACAGGTGTCTCTCAGGAAGATGCAAAACGAAAAATTTGAGATCCACAAACCTTTCGAAAAGCAAAAGACAGCCTTCTTGAAGCCCTTCTGATAACTCTATCATTCACCATGTCAATCTGTGGGAGGAAAAACGATAGTGGAATTGTTTATAGACAAAAGTATATGATCAAATCATCCGTGTTTATATATATTGATATAAATTATGGTTAATGCTAATTAAATTTCCGGTGTTTGATTATTTGTGTTTATTTTAATCAGAAGAAAAATAACCATTGCTTAAATTAAAATAATCACTAATATTTGCTTTTAAGTTAAAGTATTTTTTCACCCCTGTACTAAGCACATTATACTAATAAGTATGGTATTTTTTCACCCCATCTATTGGTGATTCGTTAATGGAGAGGAATTTTTACTTTTCTGAAAAATAATTTAAGGGACAAAATGTCTTCCTTATTAGTACAAGGTATCCAGAGAGATTTAACTTTAATTACTTATTAGTACAAGGCATCCAGAGAGATTTAACTTTAAAAATGCACTTTAACCAAAGTATATTTAACTTTAAAAATAAAACTTGAGAGTTGGGTTTAGTCCGTTAAGAAATTTCACGTGCACCGTACGGTTATGCGGAGTTGGATTACATAAAGTCCCTCTATAATTTATACACATGCACACAATAAAACGAAGCTGTCCAGAGAGAAGCAAAACAAAAGGAAGATATGGTGCGGTGTTGATCCCATTCTTGACTCTAAAGCAATGAAGTCAAGTCTTGCAAGAAACACATGGAACAGAGAATTCTTGTTGTGGTTTAATTCACATGAGCTTTATTTCATATATAACGGATTCAATAAAGGTAAGTATATTGTTAATTATTCTCAATTTTTTTACCATACATGCGTGCTTACCTACACACACAACACACACACACACACACGTGCACTTAATAAGGAAAAAAAAGTCTTTTTATTTTTATTTTTAAGTATGTGTATTTCTTTTATTATATTATTTTAAATAACTTAACAATAACTTTACTTTTTTTAATTTTATTTATGGACACATGGTCTACTTAATTGCAGGAATAAAATATAATGATTTTTTTGATTAAAATTACAAAGACCTCCCTCTTGTTTTGAAAACTTACACTTTAATCTCATTTTTTCAATTAGATATATTCTATTAAAACTTCTAGGGGAAACTATTTTGTTGGTATCTATAATTTCTCTCAATTTTTAAATTGGTACTTTTACATTTTTTTTTCCTTTTATTCCCTCTTTATGTTTCCTCCGATCTGTTAAACATTTTACCCCTGAACTGTTTGAAATTATCCATTCTCAAAAATTTAATTGAAAATGCTAATTTCATCTTAATTAGTTATAATATGTGCAATATAATGCGCGGGGTTTGAGTCTAGACAAGTAAATACAATATCCAATCATTCACCACTCTTTCATCAATTAATGTTTGAAATTGTTAAAAATTCAAATAATATGTATGGTTCATTATCATTGAAAATAACTGAAATCTCTGCAGTCTTTAATTGTGTAATCCTTAATTAAATATGCTTGCACACGGCATATTTTAAAGGAAAAATGACAATAAAATTATTTTAAATTATATAAATGATAAGTTGGTCCCTTGAAAGGACCTCTTTGTCAATAACTTTTTTTTAAAAAAAATTATTTTACCTTTACTAAAAATAATATGATCCAATCACAACTTTTATTTAAAAAATTACAACTTTTATTCTATAAATAGCAAGAGTTAAATAAGAAATCACAACTTATCAAGTGTAATTTTTGTTATTAAAAAACAAACCATAATCACAATTTTTGTTTAAGGAATAACAACTTTTGTTTTATGAATTGCAAAAATTGAAAAAAAATCACAATTTGTCAAGTGTAAATTTTATTATTGAAAAACAAGTTTTCAAAATAAAAAACTTTATTCACAACCTTTATTTAAAGAATTAAAATTTAAAAAAAATCATAAAAATTAAACAAGAAATCACAATTTATCAATAAGGGTAAAATAATCTTTTGACAAAGAGATTTTTAAGAATTTCATTGATATTATGGCATTTTAAGGGATCAAATTGTCATTTACATAATTTGGAGAGATTTTATTCTCATTTTTCCTATTTTAAATTAACTTTTAATGAATAAAATTTTATTTCATCAGCTGTACCCTTTTTTTTTTTTACCAACTTTAACATAAATGTTTGACATTTCATTCATTATAATTAATTTTGCAATTTAATTTGATTAGTACCCATGTAGAGTACGGGATTCAAGTCTAGTTAACCCTGAAAATGAAAACGCACCAGTGTTTTTGAAGGTCAACGCAGGTCCTCTGTTTTCAGTGTTGCACGAAGTGAAGATGGCGCCACAGATTAGGTCTTCCTCTTTTGCCAAGCTTTGAATCAGCAACTCCAATGGCTTCCCATTACATCTCCTCAGAAAGTGAACCAGAGCTCGATGCTTGTGCTCTTCCATGGCTGCCAGATGCTTCTTCATATGGTTGTACGGACCAAACGACACCGTAAGGGGAGTGTATGCCTTCTTGTTCAGGTCTGCAACAGAGGGTGGTGTTTCGCATATGCGGTGCTTCTTCCATTTCTGAATCTCCATTGCTGAAGATTCATGGTTCTTGAGCTTCTCGTTTATTTGAACCACCCACTGATGATCTGTTTCAAATTCCACGCATGTACGCGTTTGATGGCACTGTTTCTGCTTCTTACTTGAAGCTCTTGAGATGTGTTTATAGTGATCTCATGCATGTGAAGAATACGAAACTAGAATTGCATTCTACTCTTGAAGAAAATGATTAATTTGATGTAATCATGGTTCATTAGTCTGCTTTATGTCCTAAATTTCCTTTCGTGCCAAATTTATTTTCTGAATTAATTGGATTCCTAGCCTGTCAGCTGTTCTCTTTGTTTTAAGATGAAGATAAGAACAAGCTTACCAGCCGAAAGGCCATATTTAGTATTTTATATGCCAACTTTTTTCTTCTATATTGTGATATTCAAAACCCCGAAACAGTTAAAGTTGTCTTGTGCTTTGGTAATGTTTTTGGTATGAAATAAAAAAGGTTACTGTCTATGTTTAATCATTATAGTTTTATTCTCAAACAACACAAAAATAAAAATAAATGAATAAATAGTGAACTGTGAAACCTCAGTCAACTAGAAATTGACATCAAGGTAAATTCTTCAGCCGGCAATTCAGAATTTAACTTGATCCCTGTTGGCTTCCAAAAATGTACATCAGCACTAGAAAGAAAATTAACAAGTGACCTGAAGCATCATGACTACTTATAGAGAAATGGCAAATACATCTTATATAGCTCAGATTATGCACCTTCTGGCTCCAAAAAAGATGTCAACTTTGTCAATTCCTCCTCAAACATGGAGGAAGCCAACCTTCTACATTGAGAGTCACAACTGAGGAAATTCGCAATTGCAAGCACTTGGGCGAAGGTTCGATTCCCCATGAAAGACTCAGCCCTTACCTCACAAGGACAAAGGCTCGAATCCCGTTGATTGATGTGAGGCAATCATTGGTGGGTGATCTGTAATCTCTCCCAAAAATTCTCAAAGAGGTTGGAAGGTTTGCCCTAGCCCTGGTGGGTTACCACATCCGCCCCATCTAAACTTTTATCAGACAAAAATAAAAAAAAAAAGAAAAAAAGAAATTAACATAAGGTAAATTGTTCAGCCGGCAGTTCAGCATTCAACTTGATCCTTATTGACTTCCAGAAATGTACATCAGCATTAGAAACGATTGACGAAAGAAATCGTGACATATATGTAATCCCAAAAATCAACACCATGGATCCAAAGGAAATAGGAACCACAGTTCCTTATGATGTGGAAAGGGAATAGTATTGCTCTGCGTCCAATCATAGCATCACCGGTCATTACTCTGATGGCTACCGGAGATGGGACATTTGGACCTGAAAACCAGTAGAAGAGCATGGTTAATTATAAGGTCATCAGATTTCCGCAAGCAACAAATGAGAAGCCTCAGTCAACAAGAAATTTTCACATCAAGGTAAATTGTTCATCTGGCAATTCCAAATTTAACTTAATTCTCATTGACTTCTAGAAGTATATTTGAAATAAAACCATACTGAAAAAGGAAAGAATAAAAAAAAAATTCCCGACAAATATGTAATCCTAGATATCAACACCGTGGATCCAAAGAAAATAGGAACCACAGTTACCATCAGGATATGAAATGGAATGATCTTACTCAAAGTCCAATCATAGCATCACCGGTCATTACGCTTATGGCTGCCGCAGATGGGACATTTGGACTTACTTTGAGAACCAATAGATGAGTAGAGTAAAGTTAACCATGGTACACTCAAATCACACACAACATTGATCAAGAAAAAATCACACAACAACAGCAATAACAACAATAAAAAATAAGGAAAACCCGCAAAATACCTATTTCAAATCACATTTCACACTCATAGCAAGTCAGGCCACAATTACATTTACTGTTGTCATGCCCCAAAATGCCATTGTAATGCGAGGTAAACAAACCAAGATGAGTCTTGATGTTAAGAGGGTGAGAAATTGTTTACTTTTCAAGTTTCAGCTATAGGAGGATGAGAATGTTGAAACTCAATGGGAAATCACTGCTTTTTGGAGCGTGAGATGGCACTTCCTATCAATTTGGAATATCTTCCTAATAGGGTTTGCTTATTTTCATCAGAAAACCTGAAATGCTGAACCACATCATACAAAATACAATTATGGGCACTTTTCACTAATTCATGTAATAAACCTACACAAGAACAACAAAGTCAGAAACAGTGTACAATGGGTCCGTGCTACAGATTTGGAGAGGAAACAGCGCAAAGTGGGGAAATTATTATTCCTCTCTCATGTGAAATCCTCTCTAATAATATTAAAGATACTGTCATAATGATCAATCCAAATAACCATGCACCATTTTTTAACTGCATCTCTTCATCATCATCAAACTACTTTTCTTCCATCTTCTTTCATTCCTCCCCTTTTTCTCAAAAAACTATTTTCCTTTTGTTTTTGTTTTTTGTTTTTTTGTTTACCCTCACCTCTCTCAATCTTCTTGCTGTATTATATTTATACTATTGAAGTAATCTTCTCCTTGCTATATTACACTAATATTCTGACTATGAAGTGTGAAAAACAACAGTTGGTTTTTCCACCTTCTATTATTCATCATCTTCTTTCTTCTCTGCTTTAATTTTTTTTTTTCCTCATTTCTTTAATCTTGTTGCTACATTACAATCTACCATACCAATACTCTCTCCCTCTCAACCCCCTCAATTTTTTTAAATTTTCCAATAAAAAGAATATTTGTTTTCCTAAACAGATTAACCTTGCACAAGAGTGGCAGCTTGTTCCCGGCAGTCCATGCTTCCTCTTTCGAGATCTCACACCATGGCATCAGTCCACTCTTCGAGACAACATGATCTTATGCTGCTAATCTTCTCACACAACCATCATTGTTGCTCTCAGTTATATTTTTCAATGGGTGATTCCTCTTGGGCCATCAAACACCTGAGCTATTAAAATAGATCTCTGTGATACTCGAGCATGATAAAAATTCGCTTTTCCAATCAAAATAGTTCATCCTATAGCAGAAGATGATTTGCTCACACGTGCCAGAACTAGGAGATCAGGATGTGTAGGACTATTGAAGGTATATCTATTTCACAGTTCTACTAATCTAAGGCTTTGGTTGACACGGATCAGAACAAGCTTGCTAGAGCAGTGGCTCAAATATAATGTTAGAGAGATTTAGAGAGGAAACAGAGTAAAGCCAATAAATTATGATATCTTTCTCATCTAAAATTTAGAGTACACTAAGCATTTCTTCTTAATAACAAGTACATTAATCTTCCACGGACATTGCTCTCTTATCAGTTGACTAGTGTGGATAAACATGGGTAGTGAGTGACCCAAACAATATTATCATCTGTTTATACAAGTCCAAAAAGCTGCAAAAACATGCAAGAGAAATGAACTCGGTTTTGCACAGAATGGCCCCTTATATTTCACCATTCACTCATCGTAACAAATCCATCACCGTTATCTTCTCAAATAACCATTAAAACGTGCCCAGCGAACCCACATCTTCTAGACTTTTGTTGGATGAAATCGAAAGAAACATCAGGGCTCTTTGAATATTAAAATTTAAAAACGGAAATTTGAAATTGAATGTGGGTAAGATTCTTGGCGGTGGGGAATTATTTAAATATCAGCAGGGGACTTAGCCGAAGAATTCCTTCCCCACGTTACTCAAATTAAACGAAGCATACCCTATGAGAATTTCAGGCACAGATGAGTAACATTCAATCCCCTCAAAGTGCTGAACCAAATCATCAATCAACCACAGGGAAACAGAATACTCTTTCTGTCGAAGGTGAAATCGAGCGCATCTCCAGGTTTTAAAATGAGAATTCATCCTAAACTATCCCATTATCGAATTGGTTTCTTAAAATAAATCAGGACAACATGAGATGAATTGAAACTCAGAATAAAATTTCCATTAAAAAAAAACATCGGAATATCATAGTTCTGGGATAAATTTCGTCTGTGGAGGAACCAAGAGAGCGGGCAAAGAAATCACCTGTTCGAGCTGCTTCGACCCTCCCTCAAAAATTCCTCGTCTTGTTGGAAGCCAGAAAGGGGAGGGTTTGCGTGGGGCCGAGAGCTCATCTTACTAATTTTTTTTTTGTGTTTCTTCACAACATTTTTTTAGCAGTTTTGTCGGAATTTAATTAAAATGAAAAGAATTTAAGCAAAAGACAACACCTATCAAAGTTTCGCATAGTTTTATTTTGTTTGATAAAAAATAACTTAATTATTAATTTGGTCTTTCAAATGTAATTTTTATCCATTTGGTTTGCAAAGTTTGCATCCAATATTGATTTGGTCTTTATTATATAAGGAGAAAGTGAGATTGTTAAAATATATTACTCCCTCCGTTTAAAAATATAAAACATTTTTAACCGAATCTCACCCTCCAATAAAGTAGTTACCTATTTTTAAACTAATCCTATCTTTTTATATTTATTCTTATTAAACACCATATAATAAATATAAAGTCATTATTAATGGAGGCATTTTTTAAAAAAAGACAATGAGTATACCTCAAAAAATTAAAAATACTTTATATTTTTAAACATCTAATTCTTCAAAAAATATCTTACATTTTTGAATGAAGGGAGTAAAAAAAATTACAAAATATTGATGATAACTACATGATTAATAAAAAAGTGTAATTATTTAGATAAAAAAAATGAATTCAAAAGTTTCTAACCAAAAAAGGGCTCCTTATATTGGGATAAAATGTGAATATTAACACTCATATGAGATATAAATACATTTTTAATGAAAAAAATAGGATAAAGTAGTAAATTTGGCTATTGACTATTTTTTTTAAGAGCATCTAATAACCTAAACTATCAAATGATACAAAATAAATCCTCAACTTTAAAAAAACAAAACATTTAATAGCTCACCATTAATTTCAGTTAACGAATATTATGTGAGACTTACAAACATATTTTGCTTGTTATTTTTTAATATATTTTATTAAAGGTCTTTTCCAAACAACCAAACAGCTTGTTATTTTTGCTTAGATAAAAACAAAAAAAAAATTAAGGAAAAACAATATGTGAGACCTATATTATTTTTTAGATTTGATTATCTCTATTTTTTTTTTTTCTTCCGCTTCCTCTCAACTTATCTCAACCCTTAGATCAACTTAAGTTTTGAATGATTTAGGATTTAACATTTCACAAAATTATTTGTAAAATGTAAAATTATGAAAAACAAATAAATAAATTTAAACTATAAAAGGATGTTGGCATGTCTTGGACAATTCAATTAGTAAAATCCTACTACAAAATTAATACTACTTGCCTAGATCATCAGCTTTTGGAAGCTAAATTTGTTGCAATTGGAGACCACATCATGACGCAAAGGAAAAATAAACTAGGGGGAGCCAAAATTTATTGTAAAGTATTTTACAAAAAAAAAATAAAGTTTTTACCAAAAGTTATATGACATTTGGGGGACAAGAATCCCTCCTTGCCCTCTTTAGATCTGTCTCTTCTTCACTTCAATATTGCTTAAGAGCGGAATCATCATTTGCTTCTCTCAACAGTTTCCTTTTATTATCACAAGCTCACAACCCTGTATGACAGTGCATGTAAATGTAATTTTTTTAATGGACAACACCCAACTCACCTGAAAGTTTATATTTTAATGTTAATTAATTAATTTCTCCAAATTGTGAAGAAAAAAGTTTGAAAAGCTAGCATGTTCTGCATGCATTTCAAAAACAATCAATCAATCTATATACTCTCCAATTTTATTGGATCCCTGGAATGGACAATCAATATAAATATATATATATACTCTTCCACCTCTATTTACTTGTCCTCATAAAAAAAATTTACGGCACGCAAATTATATGGAGAAAGAAAAATCTATAAATACAATGTAGGAATCATTTTTCCCAATTCTGTCCTCCATTTAATGCTCCACTAGAATATTATTAGAACCAAGTAATAATTATAATTTGAAATTTGGAACATGACATATATTTATGGATAAAATTAAAATGTAAATTAAGAAAAGTAAATAGGGAGGGCGGAAAACTAAAATCATAATTAATGTACATGAACGTTATTTTTTGTTGTGCATTTGTTTTAAAATTTTTTAAATAACTTTAACAAATAATAATAGAAAAATAAGTAAGTGAAGATTTAAAATGTCCAAATTAAAGAAGGTTAGAAAATTTGCAATCGTAGACACTTGAGGCTAACTCAGGTGCTGACTAAAATCACAATTCTTCCTTTTGAACTACATAGTTTTGAGAGAAAAATTTGCATTTAATAAAACCACATAATCAAACATAGACACTATTCTTCTTTAAACTTGTTTTTCAATTTTCAGTGTAATCCTTGAATTTTGACCCAAAACAACTTCCTATAATTTCTTGACTTGATACAATTCAATTTCTATAATTTCTCAATTCAATGAAGCACACAACTAATTGAATTATATTGAGTCAGAATTCAAAGATTAGATTGATAATTGAGAAAAAGTTCAGGCACTGAAGTTATATTAGTAAAAAAAATAATGATACCAAATCATAGAAAGAAGAACTATTATTGTTATTCTTCTTCTGGACAAAAAGAGTTCCAGAAGTTGCATGCGGTAACAATTATGACACATCTTCTCGTTTCAACTCTGTGTAATCACCACAAAAATTCAAAACTCCAATTTAAGTATTATGATACAATTGAAGAATTGTATACACAGTCTGAACGATAGTCAACCCAAACAGAAATATGGCTGCAACAAAAGACACGATCGCCCATGGATTCCTGAAGTAAGTTTCAATGAGATTAGCTCTCCACTTGTTCCATGGCTTCTTGCAATATCTACACACACTCACTTGCACTATCTCCAAGCTTCCTCCACGATCCACAGCAAGATCTCTAGATAGTGAATTAAAAAGCTTCGCCACGGCTTTGTCACTTCCAAGAGCATTCTGTACAATCCCTTTCTGTTCCAAAATCACAACATCAACATGGTTATCGATGATGTTATCCATGAAGAACACGAACGAAGAAACCTCGTTGCCTGCTCCAACATGCATGCGTTCAAATGCTATGAGGTTCAACAACATGGTCTCGGTGCAGTCGTCGACGATGATTGAAGGAATTCTGAGGATTCCGCCATTGAAGGAGACATCTTTGAAACTGTGGCTTTCGCTTGGCTTGAAGGTGATGCCAGCGTCTAGAAGCTCTCTTGCGGAGGGAATGATGATTTCGTCTTCTTGGTGTTTGTTTGATTTGGATTGATTGGGAATGATTGTGGGGTGTGTTGGTTCATGTTGAAAGAGGGATTTTCTGTAGAGATCTAAGATGTGTAAGCATTTGCCGAAGCTTTTGAAGATTGGAGTGTCAGGGCAAAAGAACTTGAGGATGAGCTTGTTCAAGAACTCTGGATCCTATAGTAATATTGATGAGGTACCATGTGTTCAATCAGAAAAAGAAACAAACAAAATGAAAATGAAGATATGATATATAAATAAATTAATGCAAAATTTCATCTTTACACCAAATGTCATTTTAATCTTTTAATTTTATACTGTACCATTTCGGTCATCTAACATTAACATTATTAGTTTTATTAACGAAAAAATGTTGATATCAAATTTTAAATGTTGACAAAATATTTTTAAATATAGACACATCAAGGTTAATTTTTTAAATGACAGTGAATGGGAAAAAATTCATTATATGAGACTAATGGAATTATAAAATTATAGGATCAATTAAAACCATGTATAAATTTAGAGTTCCATCAATATGATTTTTGCCAATGATTAATTTATTTATTTTAACAAAAAGTGCTAATATAATTGCTTTCAACAACTATATATTGGAGTCACGTGAATTACCTCTCACCAGTTGATTTTCACGACAAAACTACTTGTCAATGAAGTCTTATGTTGCTACTTATAAAATGTTGCAGCAGAAGAGTTTTGAGTGACGAAACTGGTTAAGTCAACTGACATTACTAAAATCAATTGTCTACTTCCATGATGAAAAAGAATTCAAAATTTTCAGCCGTTTATAAATGCCAACTTCTAATTATCTTAATAAACATGCCTGAAACACATGAGAAAATTAAAGTCCAGAAGTAATTAAATACCTGGTTTTTGTTTCCCTCAAATTCAACCAGTTTGTCAAGAACCATCATGGGGATCTGATTCTCAAGCATAAGCATATCACGTTTGATATAAGGTGTGACATACAGTCTTCCATGGCAACTGAAAATAGGATCATTGTCTGCATAATCACCAGCAGCATGATAACAAGCTGCAAATCTCAGAACTTCAAGCATGAAACACCCGTCAAGAATCATCATCCTCAAGAAACTATGATTATTCTCGTTCTTGCTCTTCCATTGATCATCAAGTGGCTTGTAACAGTCCCTCAAGTCCTCTTCCACTTCTGCCATGCTTTGTATCAGCAACTCCAATGGCTTCCCATTACACCTCCTCAGAAAGTGAACCAGAGCTCTATGCTTGTGCTCTTCCATGGCTAGCAGATGCTTCTTCATGTGGTGGTACGGACCAAACGACACCGTCAGGGGATTGTATGCCTTCTTGTTCAGGTCTGCAACACTGGGTGGTGTTTCGCATATGCAGTGCTTCTTCCATTTCTGAATCTCCATTGATGAAGATTCATGGTTCTTGAGCTTCTCGTTTATTTGAACCACCCACTGATGGTCTGTTTCAAATTCCATGCATGTACGTGTTTGAAAGCACTGTTTCTGCTTCTTCCTTGAAGCTCTTGAGATGTGTTTATAGCGATCTCATGCATGTGAAGAATACGAAACTAAACTTGCATTCTACTCTTGAAGAAAATGATTAATTTGATGTAATCATGGTTCGTTAGTCTACTTTATGTCCTAAAATTCCTTTCGTGCCAAAGGTATTTTCTGAATTAATTGGATTCATAGCCTGTCAGCTGTTGTCTTTGTTTCAAGATGAAGATAAGAACAAGCTTACCAGCCGAAAGGCCATATTTAGTATTTTATATACCGACTTTTTTCCTTCTATATTGTGATATTCCAAACCCCCAAACAGTTAAAGTTCACCAGCATTGTTTTTGGTATGATAAAGAAGAATAGTGTCCATGCTTGATCATT